ACATTGACGTCAATAACGTTTTGCGGCGAGAAAGATGGAGGCCTTAAGCAGTTCGAATTGTATGCAGCTGCTGCTTCCGGAGCTGCAGCGATCAGTTTCCCTCTTCCGTAGCAGGTCGGCGACGCATAGGTGACAGGGAGCGTCGTCGTGGCGATGGTGACCGATGGTTTGCGTAGGGTCGAGGACCGTCAGTGGTGTACCTTGATGGCGTCCTAGACGACGACGCCATTGGCCTGCCCACGGTGTCGACTGGAGGGGGATCTCGGCGACAGTGGCGGGCGACGTGTCCAGCGATACCACAGGCGAAACAGATGGGCCTATTATCCGGCGTCCTCCCAGCGTCTGAGCGACGGTAAAATGGAGCTGAAGATCTCGCGTAGGGATACGGCGCCGCAATTGGGGTTGTAGGCACGACATAGGGTGGCGTGGCAGGTTGAGCATACGGCATACGCTGTTGCGTAGGCCGAGCAGCGACGGCGGCGTACGTGAGAGGCGTTGTGACTGGTGGTTGCTGATGCACCGGCGGAAGGGCTTCAGCGACTTGGGTCCGAATGACGTGTTGGAGGTCCGGTGTCAAAGCTTGCGTGGGCTCATGTGTCAGTGGCAGCAGCGACAGCTGGCGGGCTACCTCTTCGCGGACGAAGTCCTTGATTGTCGAAAGCAGCGGCTGCTGGTCGGTAGGATGGGCAGCTAGGTGCAAGCTTGCGAGCGTGTCTGGCGTCGTGAGGGCTTGACGAGCAATTGCGCGCTGCCTACGCAATTCATCGAAGCTTTGACAGAGAGAAATGAGGACAGCAATGGTGGGGGGATCTCTCGCGAGCAACATCTGAAAGGCGCCGTCGTCAATGCCTTTCAATATGTGCCTGATTTTTTCTTCCTCAGGCATGGTAGAGTTGATGCGGTTGCATAGATGCAACACATCTTCAATGTAGCCCGTGTAGGTCTCGCCTGGTTGCTGCGCACGGTGACGTAAACGGTGCTCGGCTTGAAGCTTGCGTGCCGCAGGTCGTCCAAAGACGTCCGTAATAGCCGTTTTGAATGCAGACCACGTAGTAATGTCAGCTGCGTGGTTATTAAACCACAGTTGCGCGGTGTCCGCAAGGTAGAATGTGAGGTAGCCCAGCTTACTTGGGTCGTCCCATTTGTTACTTGCGCCGACTTTGTCGTACCTCGCCAACGAATCTTCGACGTCTGACTCAGTGGAGCCCGTGAAGAGTGAAGATAGGAGGGTCTCGTTGAGGATACACGGCACCGCAAGTGACATGGACGGTCGAAGGTCCCACCTGGAGAGGCGTCTCGGTGGCCATGTTCGTGTCACGTAGAGGGGGAAGCTTACGGGAGCGAAGTTCCAGGTTTGTACGGGAGTCCACACACCTCCACCAGATTTCACGCAGTTTATTAACGTACAGACCTACTGGAAGGCCGAGGAACGCCAGAAGAGCGAGGAACGCCAACAGGCCGAAAATATAAAACAAACGCAAGCTCGGGTCGCGCGCGCACCAACGCTGTGGCTTGCCGTTTCATGCTGCTTCGTCGTCGTTCGCATAGTTCCCTACACAATATATTGTACTCTCGCATACAGGAGAAGTTTGTTGGATAAGCCAAATATTTTGTCACGCGCGTGTGTGTGTGTGTGTGTGTGTGTTTAGATGCTAGCAGAACGTGCGAAGGTTCAATAAAAATGGTATTCTTTGGCTTAAGTATATCTTAGCACACAAATGAAGAGTGACACTAATATCCTTGAACGTGGCCTATCAGACATTGGAGCTGTGTCTGGCTTTTACCATTAAAACGACTCTCTGCCTAGTTTAACTTATTGTAGTGATCGACCCCAGCGAGATATGTTCCGGCGGGTACACGTGTGACCACCACTGAATACACTCTAACCGCTGCAACATTAATCCAGTCGCTCGCGGCCGAGCTTCCAGCCCAAAACCTCACGAAGTGCCAAAGCCTTGACAAACACCACAACACATTTTCCCGCGTGCAGGCAATATTTACTGTAAAAGCGCCCAGGAATGGTATTGGTATAGTGGCATCGCTTAGTTTGTAAATCATGTCAGCGAGAAGCGACGAAAAAAAAAAAGGTGAGTAAGTGGCGGAGGAGGGGGAGGGGGTCGCTCAAAAAATTTTGGCCCCCCCAGCCCCCCCCCCCCTTGGCTACGCCACTGCCAGTCAGTAAAGTTGAAGGTTGGGAAAGTTGGTGGCAGTCTATTTCTATGTGTGAAGACATGCATGGAGAGAAGACACACAGCAGCAGATATCCTGGCATTTCGTTTCCTATCTTCTTCGGGTACCTTATCTTCGTGCACTGCTTTACATTGAAAAAAGAAAAAAGAAGAAACATCTGGTCAGGTGACCGTCGGTACAATATATTTATATGCGTCTTATAAATTCATTTTAAGCACGTGTGTTTGAGTGGGCCAGTGGCTATAACACTTGTATTCGGACCCGAGGGGGCCAGGTTTCAAACCCAGCCTCGCGAAGAAAACTCATTTGGTTTAGTTATCTTTTTATTCACTTTCTACCCCCTTCCATTACGCCTCTCTTCTCAAAAGGCTTCTCTTTTCAGGCCGATCACGTGACATGTTTCAGCAAACTGCAAAGGTCCACTTAGACAGCTTGACCATAAAAATGACACAGAACTGATAATTGTGCAGATATATTTAGAAAAAAAAACTTTTGGCTGAGTGTTCTTCCTCAACGAGAGTAGATTTTGTCAAACCATTGAATTAGAACATAATTTGACTTCAAACATTCATCTGTGTAAAAAAAGTCATAAAAAAAAAACATTACAAAATGACTTCTGCTTCCAGACTATATATTATTTCAGAAGTTGCTTTCAGCACTGTGAAGGCTACAGAGCCCCCTAATCAATAGAAAGGGTGGTTAGCCCTCCAACGTGTATTAATCCACATCATGTCGCCTGCTCGGTGTCTCCGTAGCGTCTGGTCTTATGCGTGGCGCAAAGAAAGCGAACAGACGGCATCGCCTACAAAACTTGCTTCACCTAAAAAAGTGGCTGTGCACATCGTAGTTGGTGCCCTACGCTTCAAATTTATTACGCCATCATTATACACTGCGTGACCTGTAACTTACATATTCACGCTGAAAGAATCCATAAACAGCGTCGTGTCAAGCCAACGTTGCGACACAACCCCTGTTAATGGCTTGTTGCTGTCTATCTGTTGTCAAGACATTAAATTTGTTCACCGATCATTGTTTTTTTGTTGGTTTTTGTTGGTGGTGGTTTTTTTTTTGCTTTTCCTTGTTTTAGCACGTGGTGGCAAGATTCTCGTGTGGCGGCGATTGCGTGTTTTGTTTTGGTGAGTTCCTTTCTTGTTTTATTTTTTATTCGTAATATGGAACCGTAGCCTTAATAGTGTTAAATGGTAGTGGTGAGATGCGAGTATAGAACATGATAGTATAATCAGTCCCCATTTGCAAAACCTGCTGAATCGCTAGCCCTGCTTTGCTTCTGGTGGACATCTATACACTTCCAAAGAAAAAAACATTTGTGTGCATAACGGTGGCCACAAAACTATCCTGGAATGCCTACTGCAAGAACTGTTGAGAACAAGCCCACTATGCCATAATTGCTCCTTCTCTGAGTTTGCGAAGTACCTACTACACATCCTTAAGGCAACACACACACACCTGTGCAGCTGCAGACTTTATTTATGCTGCTGATCATAATGATAATTATTTAGGCCTGTGCATTTTCATAATTTCTGGCCTTTAAACCATTCAGTTTCGTGCAATTCACATGTTTTGATGCCTGGTGCGCTTCTACGATTCTTCGACACAATGTTACATGCAATAGCGCCTCTTCCACGACGTCGCATTCATGTATATTGTTTTTTTTTTTAAATGGTTTCAAGCAGTGGCATGACTCTGTAGCAGAACACCTGCTTGCCATGCGAAGACGTGGGTTCTATATTTATTTATTTATTTGCATCTACCTCAATTTTTTCACCAACAAAAAACACCGATTTCTTGCTCCCAACCAATGATACTGACTTCTACACCAATGTTGACCCCGGAAATTTTACAAAAGGAGCCCTTTCAAACAACTGTGGTAAAAAAACAGCAATCTTCATCTTGCTCCACGTTGCCAATTGGAAGATAACAATTGTCTTAGTTTATCATAAACATTCTCCACATTGCGGGCTTCCACAGACTGATTTCCCAAAATAAAAACTGCGAAGCTATGAGAATACCTTAAGAAAAGCAACAACTTAAACATGTAAAAAATACGAAGTCAATTTATAGTGTGAGAACAAAACGACGACAAAAGGACAAGAAGGAGAAAAGCGAGAGTTTGTTTAGCGCTTGTCTCCTTCTTGTCCCTTTGTCGTCGTCTGTTCTCACGCTATAACTATCATCATGTCATACCAACTAGCCCAAGCCGCCACACTATGAAGTCAAAGTTGCATTCCGCAGACTGGGACGTAAGAATATGATGTTTATGAGGCCAAAAAACATATTCATTCTCAGCTCGACCATTGTGCATCAAGTAAATATAAAGCATGAGAAGCAAAAAAAAAAAAAACTTTAGAATAAATTTTTGTATTATTGCCATTGTAAAAACAATTTTAAAATAGCATTGTGCTTAAAATTACAGAAAAAGCTCGCTGATACGATCATGTATGCTATGCTTTTCATCTCCTAAGCTCTATAGCACAGGTCCTGTCTAGTCCTCATGGGGCTGTGTGCATTGATTACATTTATGTTTCCCTTCTCTACTGCTACCTGCAAAAATAAATCGTAATGGCAGCTATTTAAAAATATAGTGGTGAACTCTTGATTCATAATTGGCCACGCACCTTTTTAAAATTGCACGGGTGTTCTTGCATTTCAGCGCTATCAAAATGCAGTGACAATATATAACCTGCATGTGCTTGTTAGTGAAATATGTCTTATCTACTCAGAATACTCAAACAGAATACTCATTTAAGAATGTAGAGGCCATCCGGAAGTGTGAACGAGCAATTGCTCACCATCTGTGTGCTCTGCTGCGGTGCGAAGATTTTTGCAGCCACGAGCTGCACAACCTTGTCCACGTTGAGCACAGTGCACCTCTCGCGGGCTTCATCCAGTTCCTGTCGTGAAGGCGGGAACTCGAGGCTTGGATCAACAAAGGCATCCACTGACTGCACCTCTTTCTCATACAACCTGGTAACATAAGAGATTAAAGTATTCTAACCATTGCTCTACAGAGAATTTCGTGCTATCAGTGTAAGAAACTATGAATTATACTTCCACCAGTGCTGAAAGTTTTTGAATGCTTACACGAGCGATGTTTACTCGAAATGGATTTACTCCAAATAAACACTGTCAGTGTAAGTAATACTAGACAGTCTATCATTGGCCCCTGTCACGCTTCAATGTATATTCAATGCTTAGAATAGTAAGCTTCCTTGCACTTCCACTGAAGTCCTAACTATTGGTCAGCCTATTTATGTGACTATAAAAATGCAGAACTTTAATACTCACCTTAAATGCTCAAGAGTTTACAAATACAGTAGACTCTCAGTAAACGGGAATCTGTTAAGCGAAACTACTATGAAACTATCACCTCTGCAATGCATGGTTTCGGGCTTTTATTCTGCACTCAAATTCATCTCTCAGTAAACGAAACTCCGGTTAATTGGAACACATTTTCTCGGCCCCTTCAGGTTCCGTTTACTGAGAGTCTACTGTATATGCAGTTTTAGAATTGTACACTAACTGTACATGTATATCTGTAATATGTGACTGGCATTCTCTCACAAATGGGCTCTTAGCATTCGAGAGCTGCAATTAATCAAGGCACCAACAGAGCCCACGCCACAACGACAGGCCAGAGAAGACATTGTTGACAGCCAACACTCTTGAATCAAGCTTTCGTGCAAAGTCTCGAAAAACCGAGAATCGAGACATAATTCCATGTCAAGCAAAGTCACCACCACGGATGCATCCCCTGCCACGAGAATTGGTACATCTGGGAACTTCCTTGCTTTTTCTAAAGTGTCTACAGTGCGGTGAGCACGTTAGTCGGGTGGAAGATCGATTTGTGAATCTGTGTGCAACACAGCGTGAGAGTGCAGCAAGTATTGCTGGAGTCGGTATAGGAACGATATCTTTTGAACAAGTGAGAGTGTGGTTTGGTCGGCCAGAGATTGTTATGATGTGCATAGTGCCATCAGTTGGCATAAAAAGAAGTACTAAGAGATGGCACCATGAGCACATTAGAAAAAGTTAATTTGAAGACCTTGTCGCTAGGAGCATATGTGATCACCGACTGCCAAAGAGCACTGGTCAGGGCTACAGTCTACAAGGAGGGACTTGTCCATTAGCTCCGAGAAGTTCGAGTGGCACCACCTGGTGGGCAGCCCGGATGACGTCACGGCAAACACTCTTCGACACCTGTCATTGCGCGCCTACATAAGATCCGCTCTCTAAGTAGTACACTGTTCCCTTCTGTGCATTCAGTTTTGCTTGTCTCAAGCTACAGATGAAAAATGAAAACTGCATTAATGATGTGCCTGGTAAAACAATAAAAAAAGGTTTACTTTTGCTTCTGCCAATGGTGCTCACACTCTGTCATATGAAAATTGCAATTAGGTTTGTGTCGCGCTGCTAAAGATAGGTTTCATTCCAGGTTTCAGCAGCTGGTGGGGCTGGAAAGCAAGAACACATTTCAGCTTTGATACAGCAAAATTATTGTCGCATAATCATGTTGTGGTGTCGACCTGCACGACAGCATAGTTGCATCTTTAAGTCAAGTTGTTCCCGGGTGATGATAAGACACATGTGCTTTTCGCTTACACTGGGGTTATTTGTTTCGGAATCATCTGCGTATCTACAGATAGCTTATTTGCCGTTGTGCCAAGCACCGTGCTCGTGTGCAGTAAGGAGTCTCGCAAAATATCTTAAATGCGCTCATCCTAAAATACCACCTCAGCTTTTGGGTCTGTTTATCTTGTAGGCTTTCTCAGTCACTGCATTCTTTAGCTTCATGTTTTTCTTGCAATAATTTCGGTGCTTCATATCACACATTATTGAGTTTAGGTGTGGTTCAGGCTAAATGTGGAAACTATTGATGCTGTCAGATTGTGTCATTGTGCGGAATCGTAGCCACTGTACGCTCGTATATACAACTTTAAATAGCCAGTTCATAAATTGGTTTTTCTTTCAGTTGATTACCCTTGAGAATCAACCTGCAGGTAGACATGACATGTGAGAACAATCTGTGAGGCAAAGAATGTTTATTTGTTATGCGAACCACGTCACTAGCTGCGTGCACTACCCAAAAGGTTCGTTTCAACCGTGGCATTTGTTTTGCCAACATTGAAATCTGCGGTGCTCCCACCTAAAGTTGACATTACCCTTTTTGACGCGGCAGTAGTTCGGACCAGCATTTCACACAAATTAGCGTTTATGACTACATAATCCCCAATCACTGTTGAGAAGAAATCTCTTCATAAAAATGATCCGATTAAAACAGACATCTCAAAATTATTAAAACCGTTGCATGCATGGCCGTATTATTTTTGTTTAATTTTCCGAATACGTTGAGTGATTGTTTAGGACAGACAGATTCATCTCATTAACTGTTGGAGAAAGTGCCATTCTGTCAAACCACCTAGCTTTACTGCAAAGACAGACGCAACTTTTATGATAAACCGCAGTGCAGTTGGTGAATTGAAAATATTCTAATGTCATTTGGAATACTTCGGCACACATGTTTTGACCCCAAAGTCTATGCCTAGTTCTATTGAAGTTAAAACCACTAATAATACTTTTATAGCACTGATTTTTGAAGGACGCAGTAAGAACAACAAACGTCTCCAGTTTGCATAAAAGTTTCCTTATCCTAAGCCATATTACCAAAACTTTCCACAGCTTATTTAGTTACGCAGCCTTTCAACTGATACCTTGAAAGATTTAAATCGTGAAATTGGGGAGTAATCACCATCGTATCGCTGAAAAGCGGGCATGCAACAGGTGCAGAAAAGCAGCGGCAGAGCAAGCAAGTCCCTGCTGTGACGGCACATCGCCGCAACAGCAGCGACGCCAGTGTTCGTTTTCGGGGCCAATAGTCATCGAACATGAAGAGACTTGAAGTGTTTTTGAGTATTCTGAAGTGCTGGTATTCGAGCGCAGTTCTTTGACTACTTCCACATTGCTGTCAAATTTATCTGAGTTGTCCTATGAATTAAGGGGGCAGACTGCTCTTTGGGGCCAAAAAGTGACAAAAAAATTCATTTTTTAAAATTGACGTATTTGGTTTCTGCAAGTACTTTTTTATCTCTCTGCAAATTTTCACGCACCAGGAAGTAATAATTTTTATGTAATGTCATTTTAACTGTCCAGATTCTTGGTGCTGTTAACATGCAGAACCTGCAAAAAAATGGGGAACCGACTTTGAGGCTTCTTTATAATTTGCCAGCACCTTTGTCTGAAGCTCTATTATCAATTTATGAGCGCCTTAATGAGGATTGCAAAACATGCGCACCATGTTTTTTGCTTTTTGAAGAAACTGTGTGTTTTCAGTTTTTTCCATTTTTCTCAAAAAAGTAAATTTGTGACTATTCAATTTTGAGGCCTCAATATCTCTGTAGCTAGGGCAGATACAACAATAATTCTCTTTGCAGTAGAAACCTGTATGTGTGTAGAATGCAAGTATGGGAGCAGAATTTAGAGCACATGCCTTTTTATTTAATTACTAATCAAAATTGTAACACAATTCCAACTGCTTTTAAAAATATATAGTTCATTTTGTTGCAAAATAACCAATAAAGGCCTAAAAACAAAAACCTCTTCCATACTTTCACTCTATAGTCATTAGTATATGTTGGCGTATCCTAAATATCACTTTTAATTAAGCACTTTTTTTTCTATGGTGGCCTTAAACAATAGGGGGTGAACTTAGGTTATCTCAGAAACAAAGTGAGTTATAGGAAAATTAATTCAATATTTGAAATCAGCAGAAAAAACTGCATAACTCTGTGCAGTTTTATCAAGATCACTGAAGAAATAAACAAAAAATGTCTAAGACCAGTCTGCCCCCTTAACTAGACAAGTGTGCATGTTTATGTGAAGTGACTGCTTACTGGAAATGTACTGCTATCCACTCTTGGCTATAACTCAGTCTTTGGAAGACAACTGGCATTCACTGGTGGGCTAAAAGGACCTACGCCTAACTTGGCTGTGCCTTCGTGGTGCTTTTACGGAGGCCTATACATAAGCCTTTGGAATATGCCTAGCAAATGAGTCCCATGAACGTGGCTATCACACACTGTAAACCTTCAAGTATTGATACATCTCTTATTGACATCAATCAATTTCTAGGTCTTAGTACTAGAAATATAAAGTTTCTCTCATAGCAAAGCATACAGTATAAGGAATGCCTTATATATAATACAAAGGAAAGATCAAAGAACAAAAAACTGAGTAACATGTCAGGAAATTCAGGCACTTTCAAACTGTGCAGCGAATGAGTTGTATGAGATTTCAAAAGGTGTTCCTAAGAGTCGGGTAATACCTGTGTTTACTTTGGGAGCCAAATGAGAAACACATGCCCTTTGAAGTAATGAGCCCCCCCCCCCCCCCCCCCCCCCAAAAAAAAAAAATCCATGCATCTCTATGAAGTAAATTATGATAAGTGGGCGAAGCTAGGTCCTAAGGTCCATAATGTCTATGTTAAAGTTGCCAACTAGTATATAAGATGGACAGATGAATGAACGAATGCGCGCACATATGGACAGACGGATGAACGGACGGATAGACGGACAGCGCAGGTGGCTTATTCACAGGTGTGTGACATGTATGATACGAGTGTAGACGCCTTTACATTGATGCACGGCAGACAAGGCTAGCTCTGAAGAGCTCTGCCCCTAAAACATTTTTTTTCGTAACTTCAATTTAACGCTGGCAACAGATGAAAGAGCTATTGTGCTGAAGTTAGGCAGGTTCCAGCCAACTACATGGACAAGGAAGTAGGAAAGACAGATGATGCACCAGCAGTGGACCGTCTCTTTTTACCTCCTTGTCAAAGTATGCAGTTGGCTGGAACCTTCCTCATTACGTGCAACGAACGAGCTCGAGCAAGCACAATTTTCTATTGTAGCAAGTATCTAGCCATGAAATCTTTTCGTGTTTACAAATTGCAAAGACAAATTGCACAGACAATATTAAAATGCCCAATGCGAAGTGGTGTGTCTGAACAATGTTTCATCAGAAGTGGTTGTTTTTAATGCCACATGTTTAATACTGACCATTAAATTTGGGAACATGGTTTACACATTGCTATGAGTAATTCATTATTTTAACTTGTCTTAAATGAAGACAGTCTTACCTGTAACACATTTACAGCAAATCATATCACCTTTTATATTAATTCATCACGTTTAGCAGATTATGCAACTGTCAAAAACGACATCCTTACGAAAATGCATTCCTGAGCTAGTAACTACATATGTCATAGACAATAATGAAGGCTTGACAAGTAGGCACAAGCATGAAAGACAGCACGAGTGCCAACTTCTTAATAATTAATTTGGAAAAAAATGGCAGCCCAACTACAGTGAAACCTGAGAGCATGCATCGCAAGGGCACCAAGTGATTCCCATTCGTTGATTTGGCAATACTCCGTTGACCAAAGTGTCAATGATGCCAATGTTTGAGGCATTGATGCAGGGTTTCCCTGGCATGAGTGTAGTTTTTTCATGTACAAGCCACCACAAAAATATGGCTGTTTTTTGGCGACAAAATAATCAGGGAGGGAGACAAGGCAAGCGCAACCTTTGACCTCTTCACTCATTGTTTCGTCACGCAAGAACAAATATATTTCTGCGGCTTGTACATAAACACGAACCAGCTATGCCAGCAAAGAGTAATTCTAGATGAGTAGAATCTTCCTAAGCATGTTCACATACTTGGCTTGCGACATGTGCACTATTTTGTGCTTCACCTTGTCAACTTCAATCAGGTTGTCAACCCCATAAGACATAGTCATGTAGTGAGGCAGCCTTGCACTAGCCCAGCGACAACACAGAGGCGGTGCAAGTGTAGGGACATTTGCTCACTCGTGCCTTGCTGGAAGTAAGGCCTATGTTTGCAAAACAATTTAGTAGTGATTTCAAGTTGAATAATGCTATCACTGCTTCGCTTCTTCTATTAAATATATTATTTTATACCTTGCTGGTTCATTTAACTCGAGTTTGAACACCGCTAGCCTTGTTATGGCTTGTAGTGCCTGCTTTGTTATGAGCGGGATCACTCCACATGAGATGTGTGGATAGATGACAAGCTGAGCCCCTGAGGTGCTCTTTACTTAAAAATTTGTGCCACAGTAAACTTCAGGCACATCCGAGTTTACTAAGACTAGTACAAGTGAAAATGTCACCAAAAGCTGTTTTTAACAGCAAACCTGTTCTATCTCAGCATAACTTCTTTATTTACTAATGACATAGCATCGGCTTTAGATCGCGGCTCACTTGTGCATTGCATTTTTCTTGACTTTCAAAAAGCTTTCGATAAAGTACCTCACCAATTACTCCTCCTGAAAATTAGTGCCTTAAACATTGACCCGAACATTCTTAAATGGATTGAATGCTTTCTGACTAATCGCACTCAGTTTGTAACAACTAATGGCTATAACTCACCTCTTTCTAAAGTAACATCCGGCGTACCCCAAGGTTCCGTATTAGGCCCTTTACTCTTTCTTATATATATTAATGATCTCCCAGACAGCATTAACTCCGCTATAAGGTTATTTGCAGATGATTGTGTAATTTACCGCGAAATAAACAATGAATATGATAACCAATTTCTACAGTCAGACCTTGACACTGTCTCAACCTGGTGCAATAAATGGCTTATGACTCTCAACTCTAACAAATCTAAATGCATGTCAATAACCCGGCGATCTATTTCTCCCCCCTGTACCTACAGAATTAACGCCGTTCCCCTCCAGCATGTCTCTTCATATAAGTACCTCGGCGTTTACATTACCAACAATCTGTCTTGGCACACGCATGTTACCTACATCTGTAATAACGCTAACCGAACGCTAGGATACTTACGCCGCAACTTTTCTCGCGCTCCGCTGTCCCTCAAAATTCTATTATACCGATCACTAATTCGCCCAAAGCTTGAGTACGCGTCCGCTATATGGGATCCCGTGCAGCAAAATTTAATTAACGCGTTAGAATCTGTTCAGAACCGCTCAGTTCGGTTCATTTGTTCTAATTATTCCCGTACTGCTAGCATATCAGAAATGAAATCTAACCTTGACCTACCCAATTTAACTGTCCGGAGGAAACTGGCGCGACTGCATTTTTTTCATAAGATATTTTTTCACAATCCATCAATGAAGCGAGACCTCATTGCACAACCGTCATACCACTCATCGCGCATTGATCATCAGCATAAGGTTGCCATTCCGTTTTGCCGCACCAAATTCTTTTCAGCAGCCTTCTTACCGAAAACAGCCGCCGATTGGAACCACCTTCCCTCTTCCGTTGTATCAATAACAGACCCTTTGTTATTCAAGACTGCAATTTGTCAGCAATGCTTGTAACTATACGCAGTTTCCATTATCTATCTTTGTCTTGTATGTGCTTGAATTCTTATACATTTTTAGTTGACTTATATTGCCTTCCTGATTTGCGCATCTGATACTTGTTTCTTTATTTTGTCTTTTTTCTTGTGTGTTATATATGTTGTACCCGCCCCCTCTGTAATGCCCTACGGGCCCTGAGGGTATTCTAATAAATAAATAAATAAATAAATAAATAAACATTGTTGTGATGCGAAGCTACCGTCGTCTTCTTCAGCTTTTTTGCTTCGCTCCCAGAACACGAGCACCTGTTTAACCAGCGTGGCCTGTAACAATCCCGATAAGTGAGAGAACAAAAATGGAGAGAGAGAGAAATGAACAGAAAAAAAAGCAGAAGGGAGAAATTGTTGCCAAAAAAGAAAACAAAAAAACGATCTAGACAAGGTGGAATTGAAAACCGCATACGTTCGATCGGAATGTGAATGTCCTATCCACTCAGCTATTCAGACACGTTAGCAGAGCATAGCATAGCCTTGTACAGCATCGTGTAGCAAGGGAGTAGAAGAGGGAAGTGAGGGCAAGGAGGGGGATGGGAAGAGAGTAATGTGTGATACAGTAAAAATTAAGAGATAAACCTAGAGAAACAAAGAGTAAGGATTACATTTGCGATCAATAAAAGAAAAAGAAATAAGGTAAGAAAAAAAATAATTGCATGAAAGAGAAAGAAATAGAGAAATAAATAGAATTAAACAGAAAAGAAGAGTAAGAAGAAAGAAAGAAAATTTGCACCACTTAACAAACAGCACTACTCAGGTGCTCCTCTAGTGCCAGCTACCCTATACTTAATCATTATTTTTTTTTGTTATCAAGCATTTTTAAAAGCTTTTTTTTATTGCAGTAGATGGATGGAAATGGTGCGCTGATGCACTATGTATCTCTTTCATTCATGTGCCATGCCTCTGTCAGTTATCTTGCTACCTGATCTCAACTTTTCACAAATGCGCATGTGATCCCCAGTTTATGGACATTGGATTAGTACTTAAGGGAAAAGTTCAGAGCAGATAGCCAGAGAACTGACGGAGGCAATTTACATAAATAAGGAGGATACGTTCTACGACAGCATTACATCGCGGTCCATTTATCTCAACAAACTTCAGTCTAAAAAAATCTTGATTACATAAATGGCTTGTCGTAACTTCATCAGTTGTACTAATCATTGTACACTCACATGACCCTGAAGTTTACTTCAACATATCTTTGCCTAATAAATCAGCTGGAAGTTGGCATTCATTTTGTTCTTCCTGTTCATGTCTTTTTCCTGAGCCATCCTTTTCTACGAAAGGTTGGCACACTTACTGAGCAGCAGGTACACTAGTAATGTCACCAGTCCGGTTGGAATCGCCGATGCTTGCCGAATCGCTCACCGTCCCCGACGCATTGCCATCGTCGACCTCCTCATCATTGTCATCATCCCAGCCGCCTCCGGCACGGCCCTTCTTGCGGGCTGCTGCAGTGGGTAGTGGGTTATCGATAAACCTCCTAAGCTTAGCTTTAGTGGTACACATCATGACCATTATTTCATCTATGCTCAAACTATGTGCTTGTCTGGCACACTTGTCATAATCGTCATACACAGCCTATTTATTAAGTTTCAATCATCAGTAAAATGCCAAGTTATGATTTGATCTGCAAACTGTTTGCAGTGTTTTACTTATTGCATGTTGTGATATACTGCAATCTGATAATGTGCACTTTCTTACTGTCTCTGGAAACAACAGAGGCAGCTTTGTGTACCACATAAACCAGTTCACACACACAAAAAAATCACTGTATACTTAAAACTAGTATGACAAACTAAACAAGTCTATTTAGTTTCACCGAATTCGGGCATGAAATACAGACTATCTCTGCAAGCTATGGGCCCCCTTAAGGATTTCAATGGTTACTTAATTTGTTTCAATTAAAATTCTACCATGCAGAACAAGTGGTGATGTCAATGAAACATTTTGAAAATGTTGCGAATATTCTACCTTTCACAATGTGCATATAATATATATTGCCACGTGCATTTATATTGGTGCCCACTTCGTCGCGCAGCACCGTCCTCAGCTTATCTACAGTGTGGCGTCGGTAACGCGTCATTTCGTCGCTCGCGCGCTGGGCATGCCTTTGATAAGCAGTAGGACCACGTGATAATCTGATGCGTACCGGCAAAGAGAGCACGGGTATTCCTTCCGTCAACGCTGAACCAGACAGGCCGTTTCGAGGCCACCGACAGTTACTTTCACGCAATTCTTTTATGGGCACAAGTTCGCTCAAACAAAGTTTATTTCTTTTCAGGTCGCCTTGTCTCCGTACTTACGGGTCACGACCGCCACGTAAGTGTGACATTTGGTGGAGTTGCTTATAGTTGGAACAGCCCCTTCAAGCCGTGAAGCTAGCCCCTTACGCAAGGACGACCGCACCGAAGCAGTGAAGGTAGAGAACTCGGGAGAAATCCGAAGCCGTCGAAGGCGCCTAGGACTACCTCCGGAGTACGGACTGTTGCGAGACCCTAAACGACACGTGGCAGCCCATCCTTCAACAACGATGGCAAACGCCACTGCTCCCGCTACGCTTACGTTCCAACAACCGAAGGAACCACCGAAGTTTCATGGCTCTGCCTGCGAGGACTCGCAAGAATGGCTGGACAGGTTCAAGAGAGTCGCAATGTATAACAAGTGGTCGCAAGAAGACAAGCTGCGCAACGTCTTTTTCTCTCTCGAAGACTCCGCCCGAACTTGGTATGAAAACCAGGAGACTTCCCTGACAACTAGGGACATTTTTAAAAGACGACTGGCACCTAGACTCCCACATGCCTACCCATGCCCCAGACCATGCCCCAGACCCGTCAGCAGCACCCTAATGAGCCTGTAACTGTGTTCGTCGAGGAAATGCAGAAAATCTTCCGACACATAGACGACGATATGCCTGAGGAAAAGAAACTCCAGTACCTGATGCGAGCCATGAAAGAACAGTTGTTCGTCAGCCTCATTTACAATTAGCCGAAGACAGTTGCAGAATTTGGGAGAAAGACAGCAACAATTGAAAAAACACTTGACCTGCGAGCCAGACAATACAGCCGCAGCTTGCCAGCTGTTTCTTCGGGCAACGTGGACTTCGATACACTAGACGCTCATAGTCTTCGTGCAACCACACGGACCATATTAAGCGAAGAACTTCGAAATTGCTCCCTGCGGCTAGCCCACACCTCACACCTCTGACAAGCGTCATTTGCGACAAGCTGCATCAGGCGCTCGGAACAGCATTTCCAACCCAGACGGTCTTGCAACCAGTGCCGCAGCACGCAGTGATGACTTATGCTGATGCCATCTGTAGCCAGATGCCCCTGGTCACGCGCACGAATACCTACACATCGTCACCGCCGCCCCAGCCCTACACGCCGTTACCACAATCACCGCAGCAAAGCCGACCTATGGCTTATCAAGAAGCCACTGCGAAGAAGGCTGACCTTTGGCAAACGCCAAACCGACGCCTGTTATGCTTCCCCTGTGGCGAGCCCGGCCACGTACTCCGAACATGCCCTTACTGCCAAATGGGCCTATGAGGTTTCAGCGTAAACGCCCCCCGCCTCCTTCCAGGCCAGCGGCCGCATGAAATCGAGGCATATCTGAGGGAAATGGAAGAACAAGCGCAGTCGCGCCCCAGGTCGCCTTCACCGCAATCACGCCGCACCCAGTCGCCACAACCAGAGCGTTTCTATGGAACAGGAGGGCGATCTTCAAGCCCTCGCCAGGGAAACTAACGACAGCGACGTACGGAGGTGGTGCCGCTTCTCAGCGAACTAAGCAAGACCCTCCAACACCACGAATCGTTTCCGCGGCGCGACAACCAGACGGCATAACGCTACGACCTGACGCTGAGTCACTGCGACTTAACACCGTTACAATGCCCAAGATCGAAACTTGCACTCGACGCAGCTGTGACCGGTCCAAGCGACACACCGCACAATCGATCACTACTTGTCCTCGAAGCCGTACGCCAAGTGCCGACTTGCAGATCATGATCGAAGGACGTCAAGTAACCGGGCTCGTTGACACTGGCGCCGATTACTCAGTAATAAGTGGACCGTTTGCAGCACATCTGAGGAAAGTCAGAACTACGTGGGACGGACCACAGATTCGCACGGCAGGATGGCATCTTGTAATGCCAATTGGACGTTGCACTGTGCGAGTGATTTTTCATGGTAATACGTACCTAGTGAACTTTGTCATTCTGCAACAGTGCTCACGTGACGTCATCCTTGGGATGAATTTCCTGACCGAAAATGGAGCAGTGATCGACCTCAAAACAGGATCTTTTACACTTACCAGTGAACGATCCTCGTCACCGGAACGCACCAGCTATCAAAGTGCCCCCCTCGCAATCCTTGATGATGAAGTGACAATCCCACCTCGTACAAGCATCTTCGCATCCGTCGAAACGGAAAAAAAAATCAGCCGGAGTCATGATCGTCGAAACGAATGCACAGTTGCTTTTCGATCGACAAATATGTGTCGCACGTGGCGTCGTGCATGCATCGAGGCCGAGCAGACATTCTCGTGACGAACTTCTGTTCTGAGCAAAAGCACTTCGATAAAGGCACGACGATCGCATTTGTAGAACCGATTGACGAAGTAGGAAGCGCATGTACGCTGTCACAATCATCCCCCGACGTATCATCGCTGATAAAAGATGACCCAACCTTTGACGTCAATCCCGCCCTTCCAGAGCACAAGCAAGAAAAGCTACGCAGTCTTCTTCTGGGTTATGCCGAATGCTTCTCAAGGACATCAAAAATCGGACACACGCCGATTCCGAAGCACTGTATAATCACCGACGAATCAGCCCAACCCATCCGCCGGAGCCCATATCGCGTTTCACCACAAGAGCACGATGCTATCAGAACACAAGTCGATGAAATGCTTCGCGAAAACATCATTAAGCCATTGAATAGCCCGTGGGCTTCACCCGTTGTACTCGTGAAGAAAAAAGATGGTACACTGAGGTTTTGCGTCGATTACCGCCGACTCAACAGTATCACGAGAAAAGATGTGTACCCACTACCGGGAATCGATTACACTCTTGATCGACTCTGCAATGCCAAGTACTGTTCCTCAATGGATTTGAAGAGCGGATACTGGCAGATTCAAGTCGATGAAAGAGACCGGCAAAAAACCTCATTCATTACACCGTATGGCCTATTCGAATTTCAAGTCATGCCATTTGGACTTTGTTCTACACCCGCCACATTTCAACAGGTTATGGACACAGTTTTGGCAGGACTCAGGTGGCAAACCTACCTCGTTTATCTCGACGACATCATAGTTTTCGCAGCAAACTTTAAAGAACACCTTTAAAGGCTACAGGCAGTACTCGAGGGAATCAAATCGTCGGGTCTAACGTTAAAGTCAGAGAAGTGCCGGTTCGCCTATGAAGAACTTCTGTTTTTAGGCCATGTAGGTAATCGTGATGGCGTATGCCCTGACCCCCAGAAAACAGCCGGCATTGGAAACTTTCCGCCACCAGCTGACAAGAAGGCGGTGCAGAGGTTTCTCGGACTTTGCGCCTGTTACAGGCGTTTCGTCCGGAACTTCTCACAAATCGCCGAGCCTCTTACTCGCTTCACGAAATCCAACATGAAGTATGAGTGGCAGAAGCCACAAGAAGACTCCTTCCGGGAACTTCAGCGACGGCTACAGTCACCGCCACTACTTGATCATTTCGATGAGGACACCGACACCGCGGTTCACACAGATGCAAGTGGCTTAGGGCTTGGTGCTGTATTGGTCCAAACAAAGGACGGGCAGGAACAGGTCATCGCGTTTGCCAGCCGGTCTCTTTTTAAGACTGAATGCAACTACTCAACAACCGAAACGGAGTGTCTGGCTGTCATCTGGGCAGTCACAAAGTTTCGACCGTACTTGTACAGCAGGCCATTCAAAGTAGTCAGCCACCACCATGCCTTGTGCTGGCTCACTAACCTGACGGACCCGTCCGATCGCTTAGCTCGTTGGAGCTTAGGAGTTTGAGGAGTTTGAGGTTACAGGAGTTTGACGTAACAGTGGTATACAAGTCGGGAAGAAAACATTCAGACGCAGACTGCCTGTCAAGAGCACCCGTTGAACCAGCTCCATCTAACGATGATGACGACGGCGGTTTTCTTGGGCTAATCAGTGCTACTGACTTCGCAGACCAACAACACGCAGATCCCGACCTACGCAGCGTCATTGATTTCTTGGAGAGCCAGACCAATTCACCACCCTGGATGTACAGGCGTGTCATCTCGTCACTGTGCCTCCGCAATGGCGTACTCTGGAAGAAGAACTTTGCACCAAACAGGTCGACATACCTTTTAGTCGTATCATACAATCTGCGGCAAGAGATTTTGCAGGCGTCTCACGATGAGCCGACCGCCGGACATCTTGGATTCGCTCGTACTTTATCAAGAATCCAGGAAAAATATTA